AGGGATGCTTTAAGTCAAACAGCTTGTTGTAAAAGGACTGCAGATTCATTCTGCAGTTCAATTTACTTATTCAAGGGACACAAACCAACAGCAGTCCTGCTTCCATTCTCTGGATTTATTTGCTAACATTTTTCCGCCTCGTTTTCCTCTGCATCTGTTTCTGGTTCCTGTTGTCTGTCTGTTTTGTCCTGCCTTAAATCTCTTTTCATTTTCCTCTACTTACCTCGTCACATTGCGCCCTCTCAGCAGGATCCTTGTTTTTCTTCCATCACCTGAAATCAGCTTATTTCACATTTTCCTGCAGAAGTCCTGGAGAACGATTTGCTCCTGGCTGAACCTCGTCTCTGCTGGGCTGACAGTCAAATATCATCTTCTCCACATTTTGCTTGGATTGTTTCCTCTCACTGCAGCTTTGCTTTAAGATAGTTTCTCTTGTTTTATAACTGATTGTTTTGTTAAAAGGTTTAAACCAAATCAGACCAAATGAAGAAAGGTCAGGAAATGCTGAGTCGCTGTGTTTAAAGTGACACAGCAATAATCTGAGTCATTTCGCCTAAACTAAATATTTAGTTTACGAAGTTGCTCTCAGCGTTTTCAGAGGTTTTAGTGTCGTTTCCTTCAGTGGTTGTTGGTGCAGCGCCCCCTCTGGCCAGGAGGGGAACAGGCTGGTTTGACTCAGAACCACAGCAGCTGCAGGTGGAGCAGATGTTCTGGTTCCAGCAGAACCGGGTCGACCGGACCTTCAGGTGTGAAAACAGACAGAAATTCATCATTTGGAGCTGTGAAAAAGTTTTTCTCCCTGGAGAGTTTGTCAAACTTTGGATCATTTCAGATAGAAAAAAAAAGAATTTAAATCTAAAAGATAATTCATCTTGATAATTTTTTCTAAAATTGTCTTCCAAAAAAAATCAATAATAAAATTGTCTCTGGTTCTCAATGGTTAGATCATTCTTTGAACATATGAACTTAATAATCTTTTAATGATTTTATGTCTGTTTTTATCTCCATCTTTGGCCTTAGAGCATCAACAGCTTGTAGGAAATAAACAGTTTGTCATTTATAGTTTGCAAAACAAAAGAAAAAGTGTTTTTCAGCATAACCAGGAGAACAGAGCTGAACATGTGAGTGTTTCTGAATCATGAATCTTTTGTTCTGATCAAACTGCAGCTCCTGTTTTAGTTCATTGACCCAAACACTCGTACGTCTCCCGTTTTCACACATTTATGTTTGGTGCTTCAGATCTGAACCAGGAAGAGCTTCGTTTCTCAGCAGGAAGCCACTGGCAGCTGTTCGTTCTCAGCTCAGACTTTTGCTGTCTGACTAATTAGTTGGCAAGTCAAAAAATAGGAGAACAGAAATAAATCTTAAGTTTTTAGGGACAGAGCAGTTCAACATAATCTGCCACCTGCTCCATTTCTGTTCCTGTGAAGCTTTTAATAAGATTTTAGCAGCAGGCAGTGAAATAAATCACATGTAACAAAGTCGGCTGATCTGAACATCTTTACCACCAAAATTACGAAAACTGTTCGAATTTGTTCTAAATCCAACATGGACAATTAATAATGAATAATTATGCTGCAAACATTCAGGATTTAGAACCTGCATTTATTAACAGGCAAAAGATTCAGACAGAAACTCCCAGAACTAATTATGAACAAATACAGATGAACAAATCAAATGAGTAAAGCAAAGGAGACGAACTATTGACATAAAGACTATAATATAAATCACAAGACAAAGATGAATTTTGCTGCCAAGTCTTCACTATATTTTTATCAATTCAAATGATAAAAATGTTTATTTTGCACATTATTTGCGTGATTCTAATAAAATTCAAATGATTGTGAAAAAGCAACAACCTGTTTTTATCTTTTCATCATGAATGTTTGTGAACTCTGGTCTCAGATGAGGCGAGACGCTTTATGATGGACTAAAGGAAATGTTCTCATTTAAAAACTCAAGGTTTCATGATTCTCAGTTTCATTTTGGCCTCCAGTTCACATCTTGGCTTCATCCTTGTTTCTCTGGTCGGTTATGGAAACATGATGAATGATCTGCTGTTTCCTGCAGACTGTTTGCTTCATTCACAGCATGAGGAGGTTGATGAAGTTTCTCTCCTCTGGTTCTCAGAATGTCAACCGGAGAAAAAGACGAGCTCGGCACGCTGCTCCTGGTTATTAACGCTCCATTAGAAAACGTCATTATTTCCTCGTTTGGTGATGTGACCTGTGACCTTTGCTCTCTGCCTGCTCCCTGCTTTCCATCAAAGTTACACTTCATTAATCGCATGCCGGCTTTCTCTTTCCCTGCACAGGAACTGCTGACGCTCGTCGTGTTTCTCAGAACTCCAAGGTGAAAAACGCTGCAGCATAAAACTCAACATGAACATGAATCATAACGGCGCAGAAGAAAAAGTCTGAAACAAAACGCGGTTCCTCAAGGCCCGGTCCGGTCCGGTTCCTCAAGGCCCGCCGGTCCGTTCCTCCAGGCCTGGTCCGGTTCCTCAAGGCCCGGTCGAGTTCCTCAAGGCCCGGTCCGGTCCGGTTCCTCCAGGCCTGGTCCGGTTCCTCAAGGCCCGGTCCGGTCCGGTTCCTCCAGGCCCGGTCCGGTTCCTCCAGGCCTGGTCCGGTCCGGTTCCTCCAGGCCCGGTCCGGTTCCTCAAGGCCCGGTCCGGTTCCTCAAGGCCTGGTCCGGTTCCTCAAGGCCCGGTCCGGTCCGGTTCCTCCAGGCCCGGTCCGGTTCCTCCAGGCCCGGTCCGGTTCCTCCAGGCCTGGTCCGGTCCGGTTCCTCCAGGCCCGGTCCGGTTCCTCCAGGCCCGGTCCGGTTCCTCAAGGCCCGGTCCGGTTCCTCCAGGCCCGGTCCGGTTCCTCCAGGCCCGGTCCGGTTCCTGCAGGTTCATTGTAGACTACAGCGAGGCATTCTGGGTAAATCCCACCAACCCAACCGTGTTTCAGGCTCTTGGTCAGAGAAAATCAGATCCATGTTTGTTTTCACCGGCAGTGAAAACGTGAAGCAAACGTTCAAAACTCTGACGTCTTAATTTACTGTAGTGAGTCCAGAAATGTGTCAGTAACCGGATTGCAGACGACTGATGAGAGTCAAACTGATTGTTTTCGGTTCGTCAGCAGCAGCCGACATTAAGATTCGTCCACAGAAGCTTTATAACAAAAACCTGACAAACATTTGACTGTTTGCTCATAAGCAGCATCAGGACTTTTCATTCTGACTGAATAAATTATCCATTTTGAGCAACTTGCTGCTTTCGCAGGTTATCAGCTGGTTTTGTGGTGAAATTGTCCAGATGTTGATACTGATGTGAGTTGCAGCTGAGAATAACTGCGACCTTCAGTCACACCTCAACTTCTAATGAATCGTTTTTCTTTCTCTGCTTTTCCAGACGCTTCAGATTTATTTCCACTCTGTTTTGTCAGGATCTGCTGCGACTCCAGCTGTTAGTCTGTATTAGCATAAATTCAGTGCAAATACACCAGGTAATTATTTTTAAGCTGCTTTTATTGCTGCAGTCTCTGTGTACTAAAGTTTCTAATTCTCCAATTGTGAAAGACTCTGAGAAATGCAGTGAGGATGAAGAAAGGATGTAATGGGAGGAGAAACGAGGGAGGATGTGTGGAGGATATTCTGCCATAAAGCTTCTTACTATGAAGCCTTTACGGCTTAAGAAAGGCACTGGAAGGTCGGAGAGTAGCTGTCAGCGTGCAGGCGCAGAGAGGAAGGACGCTGGTGGGCGTCTGCTCCTCCGGCTCAATGAGACGGCGTCTCGCTGAGACTGGAGCTTTTACACAAATTAAACAAGGAGCATTGTGGGAGGGTGTTGTGTTTCCGCTCTAATCTTCTCGCATGCCGCTGCAGCGACTCAGGTTCCTGTTTTCACATTCACAGAACGTCTGCTAGCATCATCGGTTATCGAAATGGAAACCCGGCTGACAGTGAAACGGCAGAGGGGGAATTCTGGGTGTTGGGTTCTGACATTTCACTTTACACAAATTAAACCAAAGATGCTGAGATCAATAATTATGAGAAAAATAAACTTTAATGTGCTCAGAAGTCAGTTATTGTCTGCCATCATTTCTGTCAACCTGATTTCCTTCATCAGATTCATTCATTCATCAGATTCATTCATTCATCAGATTCATTCATTCATCAGATCAGCTCTGGGCTGATAATTAAAATCAGGCGGCCATTTGCAATCGGCTGTCAGAAGTGTTTCATGTCAAACCGTTTGCAAAGGTTTAATTGCTCACTGAGACAATTTTCTGTGCTGAAGTTAAACGATAGTGACTGGACCGGACTGGACTGGACCGGACCGGGCCGGGCCCAACGGCGCCTGCTAACAGAACCATCTGGACCAACATGACAGAAGCCTCAGCATATGAGCTGCAGACTGTAAGAGTCAGGATGATCTGGATGGTCAGTTTTAAAAGAAATTCTGTTGTTGCTTTTTATGACGCAGAAATAATTCGAATTAGAAAAATAAATGTCAATATAGCCAACAATAAACTGAGAAATTTGAAAAATCTGTTTTCTTTAATGAGGGAAAATAGTTGCACAATCCAACCTGAAAACAAGGAAGTGAGTCTTTTATGTGTGTGGAGGAATTTGGTCGCTTGACTTCAGCTCAATGATCCGACTTTGGTTTCCTCTTTTCTCATTCACATCATTTTCCCAAACTAAAGACACGGAAGGTTTGAGGAAAGGAGTTTTGTGACAGTTGAATTGAGGACCAGCGTCTGTTCAATCCGGCTCTCGGGTCACATGACCACCAGAATAAATGACCAGTCGGGATAAAACTGGTCCCATTGGACCATCAGGTCCAGAAGCTCGATGGTTAAAGGTTTTGTTGATTTGTGTCCATCTGCCCGATTCTGCTGACTTTGTTTCTTCCTGCTGAATGACTTATTTCTTTCCACTGTTGCCATGTGCTTGCTCTGTCTTAGGGTTTGGGATTCTAAAAAAGCCAAATAAAAGATGAAAAACTTACATTTAGTTTTAACCGGTTTTATTTTACACAACATAACAACACGGTACATGTTGTCTTTTTCTGTACAGAAGGTTTCTGGGAGCTTGTGACCAACAGGCTAAAGTTGACCAATGTCAGTGAAAAGCTCACAAGATAATCACGTTTTCTTTTTCTTCTCATGTTTAAAAATAACAATTTCATAAGAGGTCCTTTAAAATGTTCTTCTGTTTGTTATTTCTTGTCTTTATATGTCAAGAAAATGTCAGTCCTCCCCATTAGGTAAGAAAGGCTATGTGTGAAATCCGTCTCTTCCTTCGTTGAATCCGCTTCCTCCAGACTCTCGTTAGTGGAGCTGCGGTGAAGTCATAAATCCAGATCTAGTTACTGCTAGGGAGGGTCTGTCAGTGCAAAAGAAGGCACCAACTGCTGTTCTCTTGCCACACAATGACTGCATACTGTATGCAAATGTGCACCTGTTAAAAATGATGTGCTTTTCTTCTTGCTGCAGGGTTCTTCATCGTCTTCTTTGCTTTATTAATTTCCCTTCTGTGGTGCCTTCAGATACGGTGAATGTGAATTCAGAAATGACGTGACAAGCACATTGTCTTGTTTTTTTTCTTTTGTGCTATAAAGTGGATCCAGTAAGACAACTCCAACGCTACGAGACAAGGCATTTATCCATTTACCAAAGGATAATGTGAGAACAAAACTGTAAACAGAATACAAAAAACAAGATGAAAAGAAAGAGGTAAAAAAACTTCCATACAGAAAACAAGTCAATCAAATAAACACACTTCAAAACTAAATTCAACCATGAAAACAAATTAGAACTGATTCAGAGGTTGAACCACTCTTCAGGTGAAGAAACAAACCCACACACACCCCAAACACACACACACCCCAAACACACACACCCCAACACACACACACCCCAAACACCCACACACCCCAAACACACACACACCCCAAACACACACACCCCAAACACACACACACACACCCGCAAACACCCACACACCCCAAACACACACACCCCAAACACACATACACCCCAAACACACACACCCCAAATTCACACACTCCAAACACACACACCCCAAACACACACACCCCAAACACACACACCCCAAACACACACACACCCCAAACACCCACACACCCCAAACACACACACCCCAAACACACACACACCCCAAACACACACACACCCCAAACACACACACACCCCAAACACCCACACACCCCAAACACACACACACCCCAAACACACACACACCCCAAACACACACACACCCCAAACACACACACCCCAAACACACACACCCCAAATTCACACACTCCAAACACACACACCCCCAAACACACACACCCCAAACACACACTCCAAACACACACACCCCAAACACACACCCCAAATTCACACACAGCTAAATAAGTACTTGGGAACCAGAGTTCCTGTGTCGGTCGCTGCCTGGAACTGCGTCACACGGTACTTTCTAAGATCCAGTCCGACTTGCAGCGCCCTTTCTCCGAGTCGCCGTCCTCTTCTTTCGACAGCAGCATCCCGCTCATGGACTGGCTCCGTTTGTTCCGCGTCATGCGGCCCAGCCTCGCCCCTCCGGCCCTCGGATGGGGCGACTGAGTTTTTGTGCCTTCTTCGCTGAGCGAGTGCCTCCTCCTCGCCCTGCTCCGGCCTCCCTCCTCCGCAGGGAGAGTCTGGTATTTTGCAGAGGAGACGGGGCGAGAAGCCCTGCGCAGGATGGGCGTTTCTCTGAACCGCATGCAAGGAACCGGGCTGGAGGCCAACAGAGGCCCGGAGAACGGTGAGGGCACGAAGGGAGGCGGTGGGGTTTTGTTCAGACTGGTGGAGTTGTTGCGGTTGGTGTTGAGGTTCTCCAACGGGGCGCAGGAGGGCGGCGGGCGGCTCTCGGGCTGAACGGGAGCCGGTTTCCTCTTGGGCTTGTGCAGGGACCCGGAGGCGGCGGTGGGTGACCCGGCGCCGGTCAGAGGCCTCTGCTCGGCCACTTTGTCCCGGTCTTCCCCTCCGGCCGCGGGGCTCCGCGCCGCCCAGCTCTGGCTCAGGACAGACGTGGCTGTGGAGCAGTCAGGCAGGGAGCATTCAGAGGACTGAGTCAGCGTGTCCTTGTCCCCGGGGCCCGCCGCCGCAGCGCAGCTCTTTTTCTTTGAGCCGCCAGACAAATCATCCAATCCAACTGATCCGAGTTTAGAGGAGCTGGGACTGACGCTGCAGCCGTGCGTCTGCTGCCCGTTGGTCTGCGAGTGGACATTGGTCATCGACATGGAAACGCCTTTGCCTCCTTCTCCAGGGTTACAAACCTGAGGGACGAAACGGAAGGAAAAAGGTTTTATCCTTATTAAGATCTGTGAAAACAATCTGCACGTTATTTTTAATATTTTGCATTCAAACATCAGGATTAATCCTTTCTGATACAAATGGTTCATTTAGTGGATTTTATTTTCATCCAGGACTGGAACCATTAATGGGATTAATCCTGATGAAT